TAAATACATAAACCTTAAATGACACCTGGTTTAACTTTGCGAGAAAACACTTGAAAGTCCTTTTAATATAATATAAATCTAGAAATTCTAAAAATATGTAAGTACTTTTTAAACCTAAAAGCTTTGAAAATGCAGAGTGGCCCAAAAGTTTGAAAACGGCCAATTATCTCGTAAATTGCTAGTCCTAATTGTACAAAATTTGGGGTTCACCTATTTTGGGATACGGAGAATCTAGATTTGGTATTTGCAATCTTGTTAGATTTGCCGTTTCTCTTATATTATTGGTCACTTTGGTTTTTCAAATTCATCACCCTGTATATTCAGTCATTAGTGGAATCTCCTATTCAATACGAGTTCAACCAACCATATGTAACACTTATGATTTTATGTAGTCTAGAAGGTCTTAAATAAATAAAACAGAAGTCTGGCAACGCCTAATTTTCTCAATAAATTTTTTAATACAAACTATTTTCAAGTACTTTAAAACGTAACAATTAAAACATTACATCATTTTTAACATAATGGTTACTTTATCACGTGTTCAAAATGTTCTCCATTTGTGAGTTGACAGTAGCATAATCGATGATAGAATGCATCTACCACATTTCTTCACGATTGTTTTATTTATTTAAGACCTTCCAGACTACATAAAATCATAAGTGTTACATATGGTTGAACTCGTATTGATATGAGATTTCAATAATGACTTAATATACAGGGTGATGAATTTGAAAAACCAAAGTGACTAATATTATAAGAGAAACGGCAAATCTGGCAACATTGCAAATATCAAATCTGGAATATCCGTATCCCAAAATAGGTGTACCCCAAATTTTGTACAATTAGGACTAGTAATTTACGAGATAATTGGCCGTTTCCAGACTTTTGGGCCACTTCGTATATGCACATTGCAAATATTTATTTAAACCTCTCAAACTTAATGTCTTTTTAATTGTTACCTAAATTTTTTTTGGCACCCTTAATTTTATTTACCTTATTTCTTCTCAAGGAAACGGTAACTCAATTTAAATATGGGGCTTTTATTACATTTTTAACAATAAATAAACCAAATATTAAACAAATTTTATAGATAAATTATAAAATAATAAACGTCTTTTACTTTTTTAATAAATAATTAATTATGACATAATGAATTATATTTTCGTGCCAAATTTTCACCATTGCTATTAACCCTAACTACTTCAATGTAATTAAATCACATTCCAACATTTGCGCATGGACTATAACAATAATTTTAGATAATTTGCCAAACTATTTCGCTCAGTGTAGAAAGAAGCATATTTTCTTAGCGTGCTAAGTTGTGTATCAATCAAAGTCATGCTGTGAAAAAGGTACATCCGATATCAAAGGCACCGACAGCTACTGTCGCTTCTCCTTGATCGGTATTCTTGGGTATCACTTTGGCAGTTGAGACAGACAAATGCCGTACGACGCGTTAGCGAAGTGCGGCAATCTGTCGAAACTTTCTGCTCGAATTACACACAAGATTTTTTTTACGATCACACCAAAATAAAATAAATAATTTAATTTTATTATAAATGGGTTACCTTCTTTCGGTATAATATTGTAAGTGTATTTGATATAGGCCTACTCTTCGCAGAGAAAAACGTTTTAGTGCTTAAATGTCGGTAAATTTATTTTCTAATATTTGGGTTAATAACGTGGTTAATAAAAAAAATACATAAGTAACATTTTCTGTATTCGCAGCAAGTATCTTGTGCTCAATATAAAGAATTAGTCTTAAGAATTAATATACCTGCACAGTAAACCTTTAATTTTTAATATTTATACTTATATTTCCTTTAAACATTAATGTTAACACTATCCCTATCTTTTTTCGACATCGGCTTATATTTTTTAATAGACAAAAGCAAGAAGAAAAAATGTTTTACACATGAATATAATTTCTAAAAATAAATAGAATGGCTTAAATGAAGAAAAGGTTCCAATAAGTCACAATAAAAAGAGAAAAGTACTCATTTAATTGCCCTTCTAGTAGTGCTCGATTAAAAATCTGTGATTTGTGTAATAATTCGTTTAAGGGAACAGTATTTAAATATATTTTGTCCCTTTTATATAAACTAAAACTATTTTTCTTGTACTTACTTTACATTTTCTCTTCTCTTCTACTGTACATTATTTTTTTAAATAGAAGTACATTAATTTAAAATATGTGTGCAAACCCCATTTACTGTGGTAATATTTCCAATGTATTTTCTATTTTTAACAGATTTCAAAAAAGGAGTAGATTCTCAATTCATCAGAATATATTTTTTTATGTTTATTCAGCGATAATTCTTTACTACGTTATCCGATTTCTGATTATTTTTTTGTTAGAAAGGTCAAGATCTGATGATGGGGATTCATGTAACATAATCATTATTCGTTTTTGGAGTCGTCAGTTTTTTAATAAAGTTTAATAATACAATAAGAAGAAAATAATAAATCCTGTCTCCTGAAAATTAGTAGTTTGTGCAACAAGAGTGGATACGGCCAATCCACTCGAGATAAATAGTATACTTTTTCTACACCTACATGGATATTAGCTCATCTACTTACAGAGTACGAAACGAAAAAGTATGCTATCGCGTTCAACCGCACGAATATATTTCATATCCATTCTAGGTAGTGAGAACACTGCAAAATATTGAAATTCACCTTTCATAGTTCATATTTTGGTCACCCGAGTACTGTTATTTTTAAATTTTAATTAAGGAGGTCCTTTCGCCACACCTCTCGCCTCCAATGTTAAAAAAAAAGTTATTAGATTATGAATAAAATTAATTTTTTTCTAATAGTTGAAGTCCTTATTTATCTAATACTGAACTTTTAACTATACCTTACCTTGCAAATTTTTGAGAATTTTTTTTTTTAATGTGAGTATTTGTACAGTGCCTCACGAGAAAGTAAGTCCTCAACAACAATTCTCGAATTATACTATTATTTATTGATTAGATGGAGTAGAAAAAAACTAAAAATAAGGTTTTTGAAATATTTAGATTTTGTTTTATACAATAAAATATATATATAGTAAACCGTGGAACTCATTGAGTAATTAATATTAAAAAATCACAAAAAATTTTCAAGTAACCTAGTTGAAAATTTTTTGTGAATTTTTAATAATAATTTCTCAATAAATTCCACGGTAACCTATATATTTTATTGTGAAAAAAACAGAACCTAAATATTTCAAAAACCTTATTTTTAGTTTTTTTCTACTCCATCTAATCAATAAATAATGGTAAAATTAATTATAATTCGAAAATTGTTGTTGAAGACTTACTTGCTCATAAGACACTGTACAAACACACATTTTTAAAAAAAAAAATTCTCAAAAATTTGCACGGTAAGGTATAGTTAAAAGTTCACTATTAGATAAATAAGGACATCTACTATTAGAAAAAAATTAATTTTTGTCATAAGCTAATATTTTTTATTTAACATTGGTGGCGAAAGGACCTCCTTAAGTGACAATATTCCGACAAACTAATTGTCAGTATATGTTTGTTATTAAGATTAAATAGGTATACATTGTGTAGAAACGATAAATAATAGCATTTCTATTGGGTCGATAATTATAAATAATTTATTAATTTTAATAAAACTATATGACGTCAATTTAATTAAGAGTATTAAAGCAAATATTTTAGCGAAATATGGGTTAGGGACATTTTTTTTTCATGTTATTTTACAAATTAATAAAAGTCACGAATTATTTTTAAATTAGTTATTTATTTTATCTTTATAACTTAAAATAATGTTTAATATTTGTAGATTTTCGTTAGTGAGCCATAGAAAAAATATAGTGTATAACTCACGTGGATTGCCCATATCCACTGTAGTTGCACAAACTACTATTGTTGGTTACAACGTTTTTCCAAGGAGATCTTCAATTATCTATCTACCATTATTCATCTGTGTACCTTACTTTTTATGAAATCAATTATAAAAAATGAGTAGGTACTAAAAATCTCACCTTTGTGGATCTGACGGAAATCGAAAAAAATCTTGCAATTTCTATAAGTATTTCGAAGGCCTTTAGCTGCACACGAACTTCCATCACTTTTTAAACCAAGCTTGTCCATTTTTAGTAGTTTAAAAAACAATTACACTATGCACAAACCACAAAAAATATAACACAACTGGAACTGATAAAATAAAAAATCGTATTACAACAGATTATACTTCTCAAATTGGCAACGCTGTGTGATAATAAATCTTGTCATCATCGTAGCAGGACCCTAAACAATGGCAATTTGATGAGATGAGCGTACTCTTCCCGCCAAGGTGAGTTACCCTTCAGTGTGCTCAGTAACTAGTTGTTTTTACTTCTCCGGTTGCCAACATTTATTAATATTATTAAATATTAATTTGCACCTATTAAAAAATTTATTAAAATTATTATTAAAAATAATTTATATTGATAATAAAATACTGTTGCAAAAACCATTTGAAGATAGATTCTCAAATTGTTATATTATGTCGTGCGATCGCCTAAAACCGGCCCTGTTTTCTATTTACCTTTACCGTACTGAAGAGTCTGGCGTGGCTATCGCTTTCCGTCTACCTCAAAGACTCGAGGGAAAAACTAGAATATTTTTATATATGCCCGAAGAGACTCACGAACGCTTCGAGATTCTTTTACCCAGAATCGGATTTTTCTAGTTTTTATATAAATATCGCGATAAATTGTCGATGGTTTCAATATAAATATAAATGTTGTCGAACAAAGATGAATTGTTAAATAAATTAGAAGTGTGAATTGTATTAGTGCTTGGGTCTAATTAATTAGTAATTGGCATAAATAATTTATAAATAAAATGTTTTCAAATAAATAAACTAATTTTAAGTTGAACAACCGTTACAATAAATAAGGATATAAGTTTTAATTATAAATATTGCCCATCTAAGTATTTTATTATAAACAAAATAGTAATTAGTGCAAATAAATTATAAATAAACTTTTTTCTAAAGAAATAAACGTTATAAAATAATATGTAATTTGTGCTTATAAAGGATTAATTTCGGTAAATATAATTGAAACATTATGTAATGTTTTATAAATTTAATTACATTTATTTATTAATTTTAAACTTTAAAATTTTTAGTGACATCCTTTAAAATATAATACATTGCAGAAGGATTGTCTTTGGGTACCTAAAATAAATAATATTTCTGCTTAATAAATAAGAACATTTTTAATAACTACTTACCATATGTCCTGCTCTATCTACCAAATACAACGCGAAATTTCCATGTTTTTTAACATATCCTTGATAGTATCCATCAATTGCAAATCCAACATTGGAAGTGGCATCCCATTTGTCTTTACCGTTGAAATTTAGATTTTTTACCCAATTCAGTGTACCTAAAATATTTTTTTTATAAATATGCATTAACAATAGTTTATGTCAATTTTTTTGTAAATGGTATATTTTATATATATTACATTTTTAACTTACCAAGAGTGCTTACAATTAAATCTAATTGACCATTATATACTGCAACCGTAAGGTCAGTTTCGTTGAGAAGTTTTTCTACAACTTTGGTAACGGGATTCATGAAATCATTTGCAAGCCAGCTAAACACATAGTTATTTTGATCCACCCATTCTTGTGAAATATTAAGAGCTGGTGCAACTTTTGTGTTCATTATAATATCCAAATCTAGTTCTTCTTTCAAGTTGTAACTTCTTATCGGTCCAAATTCTTAAAGTAGAAAAAAGAAACGAGAATAACATCAACAGACTGATTACATACTCTATTCTTTATTTCATGTAAAAAGTTCAGATTTAATTTAGAATTCATTGTACTAACAAGTAATTAAATTTATATTTTTTGAATTTGTTTTTATAAAAGTTGTTTTAGACCTAATCACATTTATTTGGCGCAGTCAGTAGGATTGTAAAACGGCTTCGACATAAATCGCGTAACCGGTTCGTTCTAACGGTTTATTTGCAATAACGAACTTGTGACTCTAGAAGATACTTTGTGCAAATTCAAGAAGCTGTCCAGGGAAATGGAACCAAATCGTCCATATCCTATTGGATAAGAAATTTATAAAACCATCCAGGGAAGAGGGACCACATCGCATACATATCCTATTTGGAAAAATGCAAATTTTCTTCATAGTACTGTAAGTCGAAAAATTCCTTTTATACTTCCTTTATCTTAGATATCGTAGCTATAATTTTCAAATTAATCAAGAGAATAAAATTTGTTTTGGTTAGAATACGATTTTAAATTTAGATAAATTTGTTTGTTAATTGTTGACGACAATAGTTTAGAAGAATTAACAGGGTTATTTGAATCAATTGTTAATATTCACTGTAACGATGGCGGAAACTAATCAACAAACGCTTAAACTTTATATTGATATTATCCCACTAATAATTTAAAAGAATGCCCTTTGGACTTCGTAACTCCCCCTTAACTTTTCAGAGAGTGATGAACAATATATTAAGAAGATTACACAACGAAACTTGCTTAGTTTATTTAAGCGATGTAATTTTTTCGACATCTCTTCAAGAACACATAGAAAGATTAAAATCTGTTTTTGACCGTTTAAGGCAATCTAATTTCAAAGTTCAATTAGACAAATGCGAGTTTCTTCGCAAGGAAGTCGCATACTTAGGTCTCATTATTTCACCCGAAGGCGTTAAGCCTAACCCAGATAAAATTAATGCCATAAAAAATTACCCAATTTCGAATACGGAAAAAGAAATTAAAAGTTTTCTAGGTTTAACAGGTTATTACCGGAAATATAATAAAGATTTTGCTAAAATAACAAAACCGCTAACATTATGTCTAAAGAAAAATTCTTAAGTAAAACATGATCAAAATTTTATTTCGTCATTTAATACCTGTAAACATTTGTTAATCAATTATCCCATACTCCAATATCCAGATTTTCGAAATCTTTTGTACTTACCACGGATACATCTAGTGTAGCTTTAGGTACAGTACTTTCACAAGGTTCTGTAGGTTCCGATAAACCAATCGCTTATGCGTCAAGGACTTTAAACGAATCCAAACAAAAATATAGTACGATAGAAAGAGAATTGTTTGCCATAGTTTGGGCTTACAAAACTTTTCGTCCTTATTTATGGGGTATGTGTTTCACCATATATTGTGACCACAGACCATTAATTTGGCTATTTAATCTTAAGGAACCAAACTCAAAATTAATGCGTTGGAGACTCCATTTAGAAGAATTCGATTATGATATTATATTTAAAAACAGAACCTTAAATACAAATTACTCTCATGAATTCTAATCCGACCCTGTGTACGCACGCAACCGACTCGTGATCGAAACAACGCTGACGTATGGAAACAGCCGGACCGCGTCTCTAATATACAAGAAACGACGAAATGCCTGCCGCTGATGCTCTAGAAACAGCTGGAATGGCGGGGAGTACCGTTCAGTCACAGAATGGAATCTTCGCGAGCCTCCAGCATTTTCAGTAACGGATTTGGACTAATATAAATAGCCGACATATCAGCGCCGGGTTTAGTTTCATATAAAACATTGTATTGGAAAGTTGAAGTGTAAGAAATAAATTAGAATTGTTAGTTAGTGTCCAAGTATCATATAAATTAAATAGTACGTCTGAAATAAATTGTAAATAGTGTGTTTTTAAATAAATAAACTTTAAATAAATTAGACTGTCGTCACATTACGATGCGTTATCACGAGTAGTAATTAATGCGTTAGAAAACGAATCAATAATTAATAATCCAGGTGAAATTAGAGATCCAAGCGAACTAGATTAATTTTTAAATAACCTCCTGGAGGATAGACTACCTGTTAAACCCTAGATAAGTACTAACGAACAACCAAAAGTTTTAATTATTTCTGACACTCAAATTAAACCCCCTGACAATCAGATCAGTAACAACTCTGACTCAACTCAACACAGTACTTATAATGAAACTACTAATGACGGTATAAGAATATTGGACCCAATAATAAACAATAAACATATTCAAATTATAGTTACACCTCATCCATATCCTAAACTAACTTTTACTCAAGAAACATATGAAAATCACAAAATTATAAATGTTTAAATTCCTATTGAAAATAATGAGAATCTCATTCTAGAACTTTTAAAAGACTATACAATTATGAAGAGAACATACTATTTACATTCTCATAACGACTCTCTATATCAAAATTTTAATAAAGTAAATTTAGAAAAATTTTCAGAAAAAGGCCCAAAATTAATTAGATATTTAACGAGAATAAATACCGTGGCCGAAAAAGAGGAACAAATCATGTTAACTAAACATCATTACGTAGGCGCACTTTTTCTGAGGTGTCTGATTTATTAAAAAAAAAAAATAAAAAAATAGAAATTTGAATATTATGAATTTTAAGTGCAACACACTGCGAACGGTAGCTTTTCAGTCTGGAGAGCTATGGTGAATTCGGAATTAAATCAATGTGTTTGAGTAAAGTAATAATGTCGAGCGCCATGCAACTTTAATACAATAAATGATTATGAACTTATCTGAAAAGGGAAAATTTATGTACCAAAAAAAAAAAAGAAACAACTTATTATGTCACTCTCAATTTATTTTTAAATAATATTCAAAATACGGTTTCTGGTTTATCTATATGTAAATGATGACCTTTATCATATTACCTATGCTAATCAACTTAACATTCTCAATAAATGAAGTTAATGATTAAAATTGTGATTTTAAATTATTATAGTCAATTAGAAAATATGTATAATATTGAACAAATATTAATACGACAAAATAATTAAAAATGGTGATTTTTAATTATTATAGTTAATTAGAAAAAATGTATAATAATAAATAAATATTAATACGACAGAATACCTTTCATAGCTATGTTCGGTTTACAACCTTTTATATTAATTAAATAACTTTTATGTTCTAAATTATATACCAAATTATAAAATCATCAGTAGTGTTATATTTAAATTAAATAGTTAAATAAAAAAATGTATTATTAAATAAAACCTGGTTTGGTGAACTCGTGGTTCGCTAACTGGACTTAGATCTTTCGGTAACAGATCTCGGGCCGGTTACTGGTAAAAAGTAGGTTGACTCCATTTCCAAAGGAAAGGTACAGTTGAATCTGGTTGTGGATGAAAGGTACAGCTGAATGTGGTTGTAAGCAGCAAACTACGTCTCGAAAAATACTCAGCTGGACTTTGGAATGTGGTAACTTATACATTGTGAAGACGAAACCAAATGCGGCTATTACAGCTATTCCAATATAAAGTGATGCAATAAACAGGACGATATTCAAGGTATTGATTATGGATATCTCCATATAAATGAGTACTTCAGAAACCATCAAGCGATGTAGTACAAAAAACATGGAAGGCGTGCTTTCTACCGGACTATGTCCCAGTGTAGGTCCCTGATAAAAGAAATACGGAAATAATATCTATCCAGAAATGTAAGAAGGAGATTCGTGAAAGAACCTGAGAAATTTATTGAATAAAAACTCACCTATTAAGGGATGACAAAACTAACACTAGCCTTCACACGAAATGATGTGACTCTTGCGGCTTTTCAAACAGAAGGGAACGAACTCGCAAAATGGCTATTCAAAGTTCCAGAAAGGCACAAAAAATTATCTGCGTTATTTTGAATTTCGAAATGAATTCAAACAAAATTTAAAATAATTGCTTTTGATTGGTTAAAATAAAAATTTGTATACAAACGAACGATTGTACGCAATAACAGTTCTTACTAAAGCCCTTCAGTAATAAATGACATGTATTTATGAAGTAGTACAAATTATCAAACTAACAAAAAGAAGAACTGGAGAAGTGACATAACCTAACTATTCTAATCAAACAAAAGAAATAATAATTGGATATTATTAAAAATATATCATCTACCAGAATTGAATTATATGCACAACAAAACAATTATAGATGGTAATGTATTATAAAGTGATTAAACAAAGTTATTTTATTGTGATTTATGTTTCAGAGCTTTATCAAACCCTCTAGTGCGGTCTAAATACTATTGAACAATTCTTAGTAAGTATATAATAGTTATCAAATCAAATACATGAAACTGGCTTTGTCAAACATTCCACAGAAGTGAAATACTTTAGTACTTACGACTCAAGCTAATTGTTTCATATTGATAGTAATGAAAAGGTTAGTATCAGTAAATACATTCTTTGTAGATTTAAATAAAATATTCTTGTAAAAATATAAATGCTACACAATCTTGGCATTGTTGAAACTTGCGATTATTTAAAACGAAATTATTACTGGCAAAATATGAAAACAACAATATCGGAGTATATAAATTCTTACCAACGTGCCAAGTAATATACACGGTAGACACCCACCTTATGTACCCCTAATAATCACCGAAACCTCATCAAAACCTTTTCAAATAGTACATACAGATCTGTTTTATTATGATAACATTATTATAGACTCGTTCTCAAAATTCGCACAAGCTTATCATATTGAAGGCGAAACAGCCATTCACGTATGCAAATCATAAATAAAATATTTTTCTTCTTTTGATGTACCAGAAAAACTAATATTAGATAACGGAACGGAATTCAATAACGAAATCGTTAAAGAAATTTTAAATTTGCACAAAATCAAAATTCATTTTACCATAGTAGCGCACCACGAATCTAATGGTATATCAGAACGATTTAATTCAAGTTTAATAGAGCAACTTAGATTACTAAAAGAAACTTATCCAAACGACAATGACGATTTAATTAATTATGCTATCTTGGGTTATAACAATTCAATACATAGCTCGACAAATTATACCCCTTTTGAACTGACCTTTGGACATACAGACTCCCTAGCGAAATTGTTATTTCAACGGCATTTTTTACAGATTTTGCTGAAAATCATAAGAAAAAATTTAGAAAATCAAAAACAAAAAATAACTGACAAAAGAAATAGGAAAGGAGACATAAATAATGATTTTAAATTAGGTCAAATAGTATTTAAACAAAATGCTCAATATCGTAGTAAGAAAAATAATAAATTCATTAGTTCATACGAAATCACTAATCTCTTAGACAGAAATAAAGTAGAAATTACCGAAAAACGAAATAAAAACAAAAAATAAATAATTCATATAAAAGAATTAAAACAACCTCTACTTGTTACAGGTTATCCATCCACCTTTGCGGCGGAGTAACCTATCCCAAATTCCACAACCTTAATAATATAATAACCCTGGCCTTTTGCCCTACAAATTATGTAATGCTCAAAATAAAATAGATTTTTGGTCATTTTTCCAAATTTTTGATATTTCATATGTAGTTAAAGAATTTTAAACAATTAAAACAAATTTTAGAAATTTACAACAATAATTATACCGAAATATTACAAATTCCAAGCCAACTGATGAATTTCAAAATGCTTGTAATCTAATAAAAAAATTAGAACAAAAAATAAGTAATCAATTAAATCAGTTAAATCCATTAAATCACAATAGAAACAAAAGAGGATTACTAAACGGACTTGGCTCAACTATTAGATCTTTTACAGGCAATTTAGATCAAGATAATGATGAAAAGTGTGATAAAGTAATAGCACTACATTCAGAAAACCAATCAAAACTAAAAAATTTAGCTGCGAGTCAAATTACACTTTTACAAAATTCTATAAATCACTTTAGAAATAGCACGAGTACCCTGGCTCATAACGAACAAATCTTATTAAATAGAATAGAAAAAATTGAACATTTATTAAAAAATAAAAATTCTGACTATCAGTACCTCGTCACCGATACTGTTATTTCACAAATAATCCTAGTTTATCAATTAATTTATAATATTTTAGAGAAGATTGAAGTAGCTATTTCATTTTTTATACTGAACACATTTCAATTCAATTCAATTCAGTAATTGGGCTTCTAGCCGAAATAATGTTAATTAGTAAACAATTAAAAGTTAATAGACTTATATTTGAAGGAAAATTAGAAAATAGTCTAATGTTTGAGAAAATAATCGAAATTAAAAGTTACAGTAAGGGATACCAAATAATCACATGTATGCTTTACCTATCCCAATGAAAAATTCCTTTGAAGTAATTATTCCACAAACCAAATACCTTATTTTAAATGACCACTCCTACATATTTTTCGACGAAAAATGTAAAGAAATTACTCCAGATGAATATTTCTGTAACCAGAACAGTCCAGTTACAATTACAGAAAAAATCCATGACAAATTCAGATGCTCCGCTATTTCAACAACGTTACGTCTTGTGAACAGGTGCCGGTCCAGATGCCCAAATTAAGAATTTAAAAACTGGAAAAGAACCATTGGATCATCACAACTCCAAAAGAAACTGTAGCTATTCAAAAGTGCGGAATCAATAAAGACATCATCCTCCTCCGAGGAACCTATGTTTTAGAACTTAGTGCGGACTGTGACGTAAACATAAGTAGTACCCAAATTATCAAAAAGACTTTAAATTAATTAACCTTCCAAACTAAACTCATAATAGACTCAAAAGTTAAATTCGTGCCGATTAAAATGAAATAAATTAATTTAGATGACATTAAAAACATTCAAAATATATTAGAAGTTCAAAAACACAAAATAAGTGAAATTTAGGACCTAATCCTTTCAAATCAAATTAGTGCTTGGACGATTTCAATTTACGTAATACTTGCAATTTTTATAATTTTTGGAGTCTTTAAATTATTTCATAGGAAAGGAAGTCAAGTTTCCAAAATTCAGAGCAGAAGTCAAGAAACCCCAAATTTGGAACTTCAAAATCCTGTTGCCAGCCTCAGAATTTCCCTCTAACGGCGGAGGAGTTATGGTTGCAGTACAGCGAACCCAGCGTAACACGATGCCACGAGAATGCAAGCTTGCATTCTCACATCCATTCGACCTTTTCTTTATTTTATGAAAAAAGTTCAGATTTAATTTAGAATTCATTGTAGTAACAAGTAATAAAATTTATATTTTTTGAATTTGTTTTTTAAAAAGTTATTTTGGACATAATCACATTTATTTTGCAGTGTTTTCCCTCAATTCCACGTCATTATTTGAAAGATGATGAAACATCTTTTTTGTTGTTTAAACATACTGTTATGTGAGCCATTTCTTTATTCATAAATAAACTGTTGTTTGAAAATAATTTATTTAAACACTTATTTATTTTATAACACAATAATTCTAATTTATATATATTTCGAATGTCTTTATACTGATCACTATTTATATTTACCACTGTTTATCTACTAATTACTATTTATCTTCACTGTCCATATAACAACTGATTCTGATGGGTCTCCTCCACCAATTTATATACAAATTGGTGGTCTAGAATGCTCCCCCACCAAAATTGCCAGTATGTACCAGAAACGTTATCACATTCTAGAAATAGTATCTCGTTGATTCTGGAATGTTCGCGAAAGTGTCTCCACCATAGTCGACCCATAGGTTTGGTCTTAAGGGGTTAAGGCCAAATAAGACAGAGAGGGACTTGTAGGGTTAGAGCATGACTGAATAATGAAATGGCTCACATAATATTTGGTGTCGAAGTATATATAAATTAGAATAATTATGTTATAAAATAAATGAGTGCTTAAATAAATTATTAATAAATAAACTGTTGTTTGAAAATAAACAAACATCACAATACATTGTAAATAACAAAATCGACATCACTTTCGACGTCATCTTACGGAAAGAAAGCAAATAATATTTATAAAAGTTCTATTTGTATTGTTCAATAATCTTTTTAAATACCACGCGAGTAGAGATTTATTTTAAGAAAATTTTATTGTTTTCTTACAAATTATGCAAAATTATTCTCGACTTACGCCTCGTGGTATTTTAAGGAGAATTTTATTTAGTGAAATTTAGACGCCTAATTTCCAAAGAAACAACGAATTGTTCTCAAAAAATGTCTCCTCTTGTGAAATAACCCTTGAATATACATATTCAAAATGATCTTAAAAATCTTCAGACTTGGCATACTTAGATTTGTCTGTTAATAATTTACTTACTCTTTGGCGTAAATGATAAATCTGATGAAGCCATTGTTAGAACGTTATAAAAATCTGCATGAGTTAAGATTTCAATATTTAATTCAATTGATTCCCACAAATTTTCAGCCGTTTCCATATCATTTTGGTCCACTGCAGTTTTGACTTTATTTGCTATTTCCATGATTAAATTGTATCCTTGCTGATCTATTTGCCCCTATAAGGAAATAAAATAAATATCTAAATATACAGAATATATATTATAGATTTTTAGAATTTAGAACATAACAAATGTGATAACTTTTCTATCTAGTTATTACAGGCTTTTTCCGGTTATTTTGTACAGCCTATTGTAACACCCCTGTAAATGTTTAGAGGATAAACTAAATACATGTTCCACTCACATCTTACTCCAAACATTTTTTTATATATATTTATTGCCAACGAAAATACTGAAAAATTTAAATTTTATACTTTTCTTCAAATTTCTCCATTACGGTCCATTTTAGAGAAATCATGTATAAGGGTCATTCTTCAAACGAGTGCATATTTCAACTATAGAACTAAAAAAAAATAAAACACTTGGAAATGACTTTATTTTTTGTTCGCAGATGCCTAATAGTCAATAAAACAAGGTTTTTTATTATCAATTAAATTATTCCATTATCATCAATTTTATAGCGTTTTTAAAAAAATCCCTACCTACGGTAATGATGCAAAGTGCCTTCGGAGATGAAGAAAATGGATAAAAATAAATCTACAGGAATGGGAAATAAGAATATAATAAACACATTTACTACCCTGTTACCTGAATTAATTGAAAGTATAAGAATTTCAATTTAGAATCACAGTGGCGATCACATGGCAACGAAAGGTCTAGAAAGCCTCGTAAATGACTTGTCTGTCTACGGAAATGATAAAATATGTATAATAGTTAAATGACAGGTAATTTTAATAATTCAAACAATTTTCCTTGCAAACATTTTATTAAAAAACTAACAGAAAAATATTGAAAAAATAAACGAAACATTAACATTCATAATTTGAAGCAAAAATAACTAACGAGATCAAAGCTCAGTCTAAATGTTTGGCATATTTTTCAAAATTAAATTTAAAGATATGGCGTCCTCTTTGTATTTTTGGTTTTGGTAAAATATCCTTTATGTGAGAAATGTCCACTTCGTCAACATCAGGAACCGCGGGATAAGTGAATAAAAGTTTTGCCTCTTTTCTGCGCAGATATTTCACAGCAACGACTTCTTTGGTAACAACTTTTGTAACTTGGGCTATGTAGTACTTTGAAAGTTTTTTACCCGCCAACTCTACAATTATGAAATCTTCTTCCTTTGGAATTAAAGATACTGAAGGATGAATTACTTCATTGGATTCACTCGTATCTAAATCAGATGAAGAAGAGTATACTTCCTCATACCTCAGACGTGATGAGACTAAGAATATGTTAAGAATTTTTTCAATTTTTTAAATGTTTTCATTCAATGTTTCATTTTGGGAGTTATTCTTATTTCTAAGGAATTAATATTAATTTTCATAAATAAATTAAACCTTAGTTTTTGAAAACTTATATTCATTTTCAAAAAATAAGATTAAATCTCTGAATAACCATTAATTAAATAAATTATAAAATTAATATCGTAACATTATTTTATTCTGAGTGAAAATTATTAAAAGGATACTGGGTAATTTGTCTTGCGCTTGAACTAAATTATGGTCCAGATCATCATCTTTGAATTTGTAGCGATTGCTTTCGGTTTTATCTAAAGTGTTGCAGATTGAATCGAACAAGCAATTGTAACAACTCAATGATCGAAATTTCAAATATTTTGGATCAGCTTTGCTCCAGATGACTTGATGAACATTTGTGGTTCCTTTAAAAGTCTTCAAGCTATCTGGGAATATGTAGTTTTTAATGTTTTCACCAGTGACCGGTAGAATTATTATTTTCTTTACATTTGGCGGCAACAGGCTCATAAACATTTCAAATGACGAAATATCTTGACCCATCGAAATGAGAGAATCAGCAGTACGTTTGACACAGCCTCCTATACCGTCGGGTGCTCCTTTGCCGTGTCCGGCTTCTGTATAATTCCATATAATGTATTTTAAAGTTGTAGGTAAATATTTTTGAAAATCACACCCAATTATATAAAACATCTTGCAATTCCTGTATTGCGTGGACGGACTATCACTAATAAAGTGAATCACAGATAAATCAGGTACTTTTTCAGAAATAATCTTGAACACTGGTTTCAAGTGTTCTAATATGGCAGGAGGGTCATGACTTAGAGATGGAGACACAGTACAGATTGATTGTGTTAATAAATCTTCACCTATTCTGTAATAGGTTACAACTGTGTGTAGGGATAGTTGCTGCCGCGAGCCACCAAAATGCATGGATTGCACTTCAGCAGAATACTTACAGCAAAAATTTTCCGAAAAATCTATATGCACTACCACCTCCCTTTCATTTAAATTACGTTTCAAGTCGTCTAATGTCTTGTATTGGTAGTTTCTATTATTAATGTGCTTCATGAGAGGAAACAACAACAACTGAAAATGTTTAACCAGCTCTATTTTAGAACACCTTACCAATTCTTTTCGAATTTTTCTGACCTGTTTAGTAGTATTCTTGATCTGTACCGTTTCCAATTTTGTAATCCACTGTTCATAAAAAGTGGAATCGGTGGGATTAAATTCATTGAATTTCAATTTTTTTGCCATGCAATTTTCACAAGTTCGAGTGTAACAACGATTTTTATTTTGACAGAGATCTTTGACGCAGCAAATCATCTGAAAAACTTCTTCTAAACTGGTGAAATCAAGAATTCCAAGTACTTTTATTTTTCTCGAAATAAGCTTACCATTTTCACATTTTATACACAAACATGTGTCTCTTCGGTTTACGTTTTGAGAAACTATCCAAAACGGTCTCATCTTACAAAATGTGGAATAACTTATGAAGTAATCATGACTCTTTCTAAAATCCGTGTAAATATTTAAAAGACTTTTATTCAAGTATCGCTTTTGCTGTTTAGTTTTAAATTTTGTTACCGTATCTTTCTTGCCTGGACAAAGTGTAGAGTGCTGCTCTCTTTCCAAAAAACATTTAATATCGTTTCTGATTTTGTCATGGAACTCTTTAGCGTGTCGTTTCTTTCTAGATTTTTTAATATTGCTTCTTATAAAATTTAGTTCTGAGAGACACCTATATTTTTTTAGAACTTTCCCAAATAAAACTGTTTGAAACTTTTGTTTCTCTTTAGGCAACGTTGTACGAGAATAGTTATTTCGAATTTGACTTACTAATGCTTCACTAAATAGTAACTTTCTCTTACCTTCTGAAGTTACTTTGGTACCTACTAGCAACTTTTCAATTTTGGTGAAAGGACTACTTTCATTTGACTTTTTTTTTACTGCTCTGTAATACTTCGATTTGTACCGGTGATATTTTGCTTCCATTTTAGACAGCTTTTTTTTTAAGCTTTTATTTTCTCTGTAAACTTTAGCCCTATCTTTTTTTACTTTCCTTCTGCCAGCTTTAACATATCCATTTGGACCTGCTGCTCCTCTAAGATCTTCAATTTGATTTCCATTGAACGGATGATTCGGTGATGCTGGTAAAGTGTTCTCATTCAAAAATCTTAGTCTCTCTTGTCGTTTCTCTTTTTGGTTTGATCTATATTTCATCGAGTTCTTCTTCCATGATTTTCGTTTTGCTCGTTGTTCTCTAGTACTTAGCAAGTTGATAGTTTTTATCTTTCCTTGTTCCTTTCTTTTTTTATATCTTTCTCTTTCATATTCTCTTGCCTGTTCAAGTAAGTTTGGATTGTTTTTAATTTTCTCTCTGCGCAATCTTTGCAAATCTGTTTTTCTTCTTCTCTTTTCTTCGTCAGTTTTCACATTTTTGGATTTGGCCATTTGGACTAGGGTCTAAAAGATGAAAATATATGCTAAATTAATTTTGTTTTAGAAACTACTCGGCGAATTTTAAAAAAACGTCATTCCGTAGTCACTTCGTCATTACCGAAGCTTAAAATTGCTTCGGAAATGACTGCCTCGGTAATGACGTTTTCTCATAAAAAGACAATTTACTTTACATTCTTTCAGGTAATCGTGTTTATTTCTATTAAGGAATACAAATAAAAACAAGAACAAACAAATTAAAAACCAATCAATTTGGAAAAATACACGCTTTACACATTTTTAACTGTCTACGTAAATGACGAGTAATAAAGGTACGTACCTAGATTTGCACACTGTGGGGCACTTTAAAACTTATTGCTTTGTCACACCTACTCGTTTTGACAACCTACAACCAACTGAATGAGAGCCAATCAAACTGTTCAAATGCGGCTTAGTTGAAACGTACAGTGTAGCCAGATTTTTTCCATAATTTTTATGGGCTTCGGAAATGACGGTAAAGCTAGTAACAATTATAATTTCAGCTTTTTGTCGACAAAAACTTTCAGTAATTTTGAACTACTAGTTTATGTTATTAAAACAATAACAAATTAATGTATTTCATTATTAAACATGGCAAAATATCTGTAATAAGTCTAAATATACAAAGAAACGTAGACACTTTTAATGCTGGTAACAGCTTCGGAGTATGACGAATTTACACTAACTAAAAAAAAAAACTTAAATAAAATTTTTTTTCCAGAAATTTCACTCATTGATTGGATACACTAAATTTAGCTTAATGTAATGGCTTCGAACATTTTATTTTATGTATCATTTAAATAATTTTGTGACATAGAACGACTTGTATGCACTAGTTTGAAGAATGACCCATAAATCAAAAATTATAGAAATCGATATCTCAAACTTTTAATTTAACAGTTTTCTAACTAATTTGATTTTTTTTACATTTTGTCAATTTTCTCGAATACGGACCAATTTTTTAAAACACAAACATTAAAAAAATATTAGTGTAAGTAACTTTCATTTAAAGAATTTTCTTCTCCAAACGTAAATAAAAGATTTATTCCCTAAAATATAAAAAATTACTCCCTATAAAGATCCTCCCAGATGTTTTGAGTCTGTCTTAAATCTAATTAGTTCACCGCAGGCCGGAATAAAGCTTAAGTTTAAAATTTGGTGTATTTCTCTCTATCCGTTCATGAGTTATCGAGTATACAGGCACACAGATAGGAAAGTAAAAACAATAAAATATAATTCGTTCGAAAAAAAAATCACTTACCAGAGATAATAGGTATGGAGCATATGTCAAAACTGAATCAACTGGAGATATCCAGGAGTCTCCTAAACCTACACCCTTCAAGTTGGCTTGGATATCGCCATTCTTGATAGCCTGAAAATAAAACTTTTGTTGTATTTTTGTATTTTCACATCAAAATTTAACCAATAATTCACCATTATTACTTTAAAGTTTAAATATCAACAATTTTATACTTTTATCCTGAGTGTAAATAGAAATTGATTTTTAAGGCATTTCAGTATATTTTACATGGTCAAAGCAGAAGTTTACAATTATTTACAGAACTTATTTTCCACTGGATGAATTTTAGTGAAACTGTGGCAGCTTATAGTAAAATGTTTAATGATTGCAATGAGATATTTTCATTTGTCCTGCTGATTATTAAATACTATTAAAAAATATGAAAAAGTGTTAGTAAAAGATACAGTTCAAAAAACTTTACAGCATTTCAGATATTTTTTAATTATTCTTGCCAAATTTTAATCATCTCAATATTGCGTAGTTTTTTAAATTGTGCACAAATTTAATTAGGTATTCATCTAAAATTGATCATTTTACTGCATCCATATTGAATTTTAGTTCAGTAACTAAGTTATAGGTGTCCGATGGAACAAAAGTAGCAGAAGTCTCGACGCCGTGTTGCCATATCTTAAATTGCTTTGAATTTAGAGGGAAATATATTATGCATATTTCAAATGTAAACAAATATAAATTATATATATTAATTGTTAATAATTTTTAATAATTTTTATTAAATTTGATTACTTTTTATTAATTTTTAATAATTTTTATTAAATTTGAATAATTTTTAATAATTTTTATTAAATTTGAATAATTTTTAATAATTTTTATTAATTTTAAATAATTTATTATAATTTTTATTAATTTTTATTAATTTTATTAATTTTTATTAATTTTTAATAATTTTTATTAATTTTTATTAATTTTTATTAATTTTTATTAATTTTTATTAATTTTTATTAATTTTTATTAATTTTTATTAATTTTTATTAATTTTTATTAATTTTTATTAATTTTTATTAATTTTTATTAATTTTTATTAATTTTTATTAATTTTTATTAATTTTTATTAATTTTTATTAATTTTTATTAATTTTTATTAATTTTTATTAATTTTTATTAATTTTTATTAATTTTTATTAATTTTTATTAATTTTTATTAATTTTTATTAATTTTTATTAATTTTTATTAATTTTTATTAATTTTTATTAATTTTTATTAATTTTTATTAATTTTTATTAATTTTTATTAATTTTTATTAATTTTTATTAATTTTTATTAATTTTTATTAATTTTTATTAATTTTTATTAATTTTTATTAATTTTTATTAATTTTTATTAATTTTTATTAATTTTTATTAATTTTTATTAATTTTTATTAATTTTTATTAATTTTTATTAATTTTTATTAATTTTTATTAATTTTTATTAATTTTTATTAATTTTTATTAATTTTTATTAATTTTTATTAATTTTTATTAATTTTTATTAATTTTTATTAATTTTTATTAATTTTTATTAATTTTTATTAATTTTTATTAATTTTTATTAATTTTTATTAATTTTTATTAATTTTTATTAATTTTTATTAATTTTTATTAATTTTTATTAATTTTTATTAATTTTTATTAATTTTTATTAATTTTTATTAATTTTTATTAATTTTTATTAATTTTTATTAATTTTTATTAATTTTTATTAATTTTTATTAATTTTTATTAATTTTTATTAATTTTTATTAATTTTTATTAATTTTTATTAATTTTTATTAATTTTTATTAATTTTTATTAATTTTTATTAATTTTTATTAATTTTTATTAATTTTTATTAATTTTTATTAATTTTTATTAATTTTTATTAATTTTTATTAATTTTTATTAATTTTTATTAATTTTTATTAATTTTTATTAATTTTTATTAATTTTTATTAATTTTTATTAATTTTTATTAATTTTTATTAATTTTTATTAATTTTTATTAATTTTTATTAATTTTTATTAATTTTTATTAATTTTTATTAATTTTTATTAATTTTTATTAATTTTTATTAATTTTTATTAATTTTTATTAATTTTTATTAATTTTTATTAATTTTTATTAATTTTTATTAATTTTTATTAATTTTTATTAATTTTTAATAATTTTTATTAATTTTTATTAATTTTTATTAATTTTTATTAATTTTTAATAATTTTTATTAATTTTTATTAATTTTTATTAATTTTTATTAATTTTTATTAATTTTTATTAATTTTTATTAATTTTAATTAATTTTTATTAATTTTTATTAATTTTTATTAATTTTTATTAATTTTTATTAATTTTTATTAATTTTTATTAATTTTTATTAATTTTTAATAATTTTTATTAATTTTTATTAATTTTTATTAATTTTTGTTAATTTTTATTAATTTTTATTAATTTTCAATAATTTTTATTAGTTTTTATTAATTTTTAATAACTTTTATTAATTTTTAATCATTTTTATTAATTTTTAATAATTTTTGTTAATTTATGAGAATTTTATTAATTTATGTTTATTTATATTTTATTTATTTAATTTTATTTGCTCGTATTTATGTTTATGTGTATTGGTTTATTTTTACGATATTCCCCAGTTCTTGCCTCTACAAAAACCTTGAAATATGTCATTATTTACTTATGATGAGTAGCTACATTTCCAATTTTCAGGTTCCTTGCCTTAAAAAACCGAGAAGGTTTCTTACAAACTTTCACCTCTCGTTTCCCCCTTCAGATGTAAAATTTTAAAAACCCTGAAACATGTCTATTAATTTATGATAAGTAGCTACAATTTTCAAGTTCCTACCTTTAAAAACTTTCACCTTTCCCTTGATTTTTTTTTTGAACCATTTTAAGTTTTGAACCATGGAGAATATTTATCCAGAAATAAATTTTTGTTAAAAAACCAATAATAAAAAAGTTTTCCCTATGGTTCCACCTTAAGTAAACAAATACAATAAAATCGTATTTGTTAGATAATATACCAATAAGTGTAGTGCACAAATTCATAACCGAAACCAAAAATGTATTATTTCAACCATTACTTGGATATTGGGGTAAATATACCTAGTGGTTTATAACAGTTTATGCGGGGTCAGTTACTAACAGATATGTACGATAAGTAGGTACCTGCGACCCTATTTAGACAGCTAAATATTTAATTCCCCATAAACAAGAAAAACCTTGCTAAGCAATTGGTAGATTGCCTATCGATAGATAAGATCATAAAATAAAATTATGGTTAGGTATATTATTTTGCTGAACGACTTTTGCGATATGATAGACAAAATAGAGAGGTTAAAGAGTGTAGCTACATCTACGTAGGAAAGGATAAACTAAAATTTAAATTTAAATCATGTTATCAGAAACCAGAAGTGCTGAGGTATCCTTAAAGTAAATCAGTTAACTCTTACCTTATCAATAACCAAAGCAATTTCAGCAGTCATTTTTCCTCCATATGATTCGCAAAATATGTACAATGGCACCTTTTTAAATTCAGGTACTGATTTATAAAATTGCTTTAGAAATACTAAAAAGTCTTCTCCAATTTGAGTATTGTTTTGCGCATAAGCATCATTGCTGTCTACGTAACCAAAACCTAAAATATTTTTTTATAATTAATAGTTATTTATGTATCAAGGGCGTAAAACAGGCGTTTATGGACCGCAACGTGTAAGAGCCCGAGCCGCTAGGCGAGGGCTATTAACACGTAAGGTCCATAAACGCTGTTTACGCCCGAAATACATACAATATTTTATGCACGACCGTTTTAATAGTCATTTATTAATAAATATACAAAATTTTATGCACGACCGTATTAATGATAGTTTATTAATAAATATGTTTTATTTTCTATTTTTCACCTTTTGTGAGTAGGTTATTATAAATGTTTCAAGTTGGATAAATTTTATACCTCGATATTATTATAACTCACCCTGTATAACAATCTACCAAATCATTTGTATAGTCAAATAAAAATAAGTCTTATTGAAACTAATAAGATGATAAAATAACAATAATCTATATACCTACACGCGTTACCATAGCAACCAAGTCAATAGGACAAGAATAGGTAGACGCCATTTTTATTTACAGTCGACTTTACGTATTGCAAGTTTCTTAGTATATTTTCGAAGAAGTTTTATATATTTTGTTTATGTAATGGACAGTAGTGACGATGAAATAGTTTCCGGAATACCACCGGAAATTTTTAAAGCAGCAGAAGATGCAAAATTAAGTTTACTACCCACCAAATCTAAGAGAATATACGATAAGGTCTACGATGAATTTGTTAGCTGGTGCAAATTGAAGAATGTTATAGACGGTAACTATACAGAAAATGTATTTCTTGCATTTTTTTCTGGAAAAGTCCAAATACCGTAAGCCGTCGTCTCTATGGTCATATTATTCGATGTTAAAGGCAACTGTAAATTTGCACAATAATATAAACATCGCTAGATATTCAAGATTGATAACATTCTTAAAACGGAAATCAGACGGTTATAAACCCAAAAAATCAAAAATTCTAACCAGGGAAGAAATAGAATTATTTTTAGTAGATGCTCCAGATAATTTATATCTTATGATAAAAGTAAGTTAATTATTTTTTTTTTATTTTAGACTATTATGTTAATATGATTATTTATTGTAGGTTGCACTAATTTTTGGTATTTGTGGAGCATGTCGTCGAGAGGAATTAGCTAATATTTCAATAGACGATATTCAAGATTTAGGAACAACCTTATTGGTAACCATACGAGCATCTAAAACTAAAATTGACCGCATTTTTAGTGTGATTGACAAAGAGCAGGAATCACCAAGTTATCTCGACTTATATCGAAAATATGCTTAACTACGTTCTACAAATACCAACCACGGACGTTTTTTGTGTATTATCGTAATGGAAAATGTTCCAGTCAGGTGGTTGGAAAGGATACATTTGGTCAAATTCCTTTTAAAATAGCAACTTATTTAAAATTGCCTACTCCAAAAGACTACACAGGCCATTGTTTTAGACGATCTTCAGCAACTTTGTTAGCTAATGCAGGTGAGGATATCCTTAACATAAAGCGACATGCTGGTTGGAAGTCTACAACGGTGGCAGAAGGTTATATTGAAGATTCTGTGGCAAATAAAATGAAAATCGCCAAAAAAATTGTCAATGCTGATATGCCTTCTACTAGTCGCACAGCTGAATTTTCAAATTTACATACCGATTCTTTTGAGTATACATCTTCCAGCAGTAACCCAAATCATACGGAGTTAGTAGAAGTTCGTAGCAACTTACAACGGAGCAAGGTAGCAAATCCTAACATTTCTATAAGTAATTGTTCAAATTGTGTTATTAGTATAAAATTATAAGTGTGAGGATCTTATGTTTGGGCTTTTAAAGTTATAATTTCTTTATTAAACTCATATTTTGTTAATTGTACCAAATATTTACATGATAATAAATAATAATAAAGTTTGTTTTACTAACTACATGTGAATTTTTAAAAGAAAAAAAAAGAAAGTTACTTTACCGCCCGGCGGGCGTTAAAGTAGTCCGCGGGCAGTAAAGCGACACTTTACGCCCGCTAAACGTATTTATAATCTGGACTTTATCGCCCGGTCGTGCATAAAAAAAATGTTATAATATAAAAAAATATGAATAGGATCAATGTATAGAATATAATGTGTAACCTGCAATAAAAACTATATACTCTTTGAAGCAATCCTCTTATTAATAATAAAAATTAGGAAATAAAAATTTGGTACTTAATATGTGCAGAAGGGGATTATATTAAAAAAATCACTCTCTTAAGTTAAAGCTATTTTAGCTCCTTTGGCTGTTTATTCATCATCAGCACTTAACAAAGAAAAAGAAAAACAGGTCAAAACAAGTCAAAATTGTAAACATTTTTAAAAGCGTCTGATCAAAAACATATCTAAGAACATCAATCAGAAAAGCCAATGAGTTGATTACCATTTAAATTGATTTAAGAAAATGGAAGAAGCAATCTTAGGATATTTTCTCAGATTGTTTGGGTATCGGCCAAGTGCGCCAGATGGTAAAAAAATAACATCGGTAGCAGGAAATGAAGTTACTAATTTCTTATAAAATGAGAAAAACCAAAGGAAAACAGTGTAGCTTTAGAAGATATTTAAAAGCAAAAAACGCCAGATGCAAAATAGTACTCATTTTAAAAGAAACTTGTCCGTTTCTTTCAAAATACCAAACACATCCTAAGTAACAGTTTATTGTTTATTTAAGAATTTATTTTAAATAAAAGTTGTTCTTAAAAATGGCTGGAAATTATTTTTAAGATCCTATCGTAGCCGCGGAGGATGTTATATAAAAAATATGAAAATCGTAACATGTAAAACATTTTATTCCACTTTGACTAGCCTTTCATTTATCGATAGGTATATCATTGGACATAATTATTACGCCATCCATCTAGGGAAGAAGATTTTAATAATTTCCAGTGATTTCTCTCGATAACTTTTACATTTAAAAGTCTTTCAAAAAATTTTACGATGAACAAGTATTGAAATATCTTATAGCCGCCGACAGACGTAGCTAAACAAACATATTTTGCCGAAAGCAACGTAAAACAAATAATTTTATAAATGTAAATTATTAAGAAATATTTGTTACTTAAGTATTTGTACAAATATTCGTTTTGCAAAATGTCCCGTCCGTAGAACATATTATAAAAGCGCACTATGAATATAAGGCCACCTTGTCGTAGGGCAACAGATAGTATGCGTTAACCTACGGTTTGTTAGAACAGGTAGTGGCGCTCTGTCAGGAGTGAAGAATCTTTCCCCAGGCTACTCGTGGGACTTATATGGATAAGGACAACAACAACAAACAAAAAATACAAAAAAAATCTGGAGCTTTCAGGCGAAAGCAAAAGCTCCGACAAAACACCGGCACTAGCGGGACCTCTGAGCAGGAGGGACAGGGCGGCGCATCCTCCGCATCATTAGATGTGAGGAGTGAGGCTGGACCTAGTTCTTCCGGCACAGGGCGGATCACTAAGCCAACGAATGCTGGACCAGGGGAACGAGGGCAAGCGTCTCGTCCTTTCTCTACGGAAATGGAACAAAACGCGAATCCTAGTACCTCAGGGATGGCAAAGCAAAAAAAAACATAGCTAAGGCTGTGTCCAGCGAGCAGGGACGAACCGGGGCTCAAAAGAGAAACCGGTCCGATACCAGCACGCCGGAAAAACGAAAAACCAAAAGGGCTAAGGATGCGAGAGTTGCGGGTCCGGGACCAACTGGTACCACATCAAATGTGGGGCCGGATGGGACTGAGCCGGTAGCATCGTGTTCTTACGCCTCTAAAGTAAGCAATATTGGGGTAGCCATTGTACTAACAGACTATCCCAATAATACACTGACAACGGACGACAGACGACAGACTCGAAGAACTAGACGAAGAAGGACTTTCACCCAGGTTCTCCGAAGCTAGGATAAGAAATGGGAGTCATAGATTCTGGGGAAGTTCTCAAACCCAAGTTTACCATTACATGGATGCCGGGACCCGCAGTGGAACCGGAAAGAATAATGAAGAGATTGAGATGTAACGTACAAAGGTTTCAATTGGTTACACAGCTCCGGCAACTCATTGGTTATGGGTGAACTGGGTCGTAGATCAGACAAACACTATCAATTCGTAGACATATAATGATTATCACAATAATTACCCAGTTGTGGTTCTAGAGTTATTTTAGAGTTAATGATTTAGGCGCCACTGGGGCAAATTAAGAAACTTACTCTAATACCAACACTAGGTCACTTCCCCCCAGCAAAGATAATGTGAAGATTAATCCCCTACCTAATATGGTTGTGACCATAAATATTCAAATATATGTGTACACTCTTATGCTAAAGTCTGGGACTTTGTATTGATGGGAAATAAAATGCGTTACTTTTCTGAACGTTTTTAATTGTGACGAATGACAATAATCTTGCTCCAGTGAGCCAATCCACTAGGAGTCAATGCCAGACGGAAACCACTTTGTGACCGGCAAACCCCGGCAGTACGTCCCAAGGGTTGTGGTTGTTCCTCTAACACTGACGTCCATCGTCGTCCTGATCCAATTTGTGTCAGCAGGAACCCCCCCCAACCTGTATACCGAGGTATGCAAGCCACAAGAGCTTCCTTCTGACATCCACTCATATTGGATGGAGTAAAGTTATAATTTATAGGTATGTCGATATTTTTAAAGTTACTTTTAACAATGCGGTTTAATATTAAATTAAATACTAAGTGGTTTATGACAAAATACCTAGGGCTCGTTACCGTTGCCCTCTGTGCACAGAAGTCAGCGATTTACAATTTTGTAAATCAAAACAGAAGTATGAGGTTAAGTTTGAAAAAATAGTTCTAAAGTTTATACAAAAAAAATTAATAAATGAAGTTTTATAATAAGTTCTGGTCATTCAGCCACAATTAACTGGTCTCAGGATCTCGTCGCCACTGCCTTAGGCTAGAGCTAGGTTGGTACCTACTCTACATTTCTGACCAGTTTTCCACCGATCCATCGTGTCTCTTAAGATGTTTTTTTTAATTAGGTGATAGCCAAGCTATACACCCCTCCTCTG